TAATATTTTGATTAGTTTAGCTGCTACAACATTTCTACAAAATGTCGGAGAACTGTCCCTTATTACCCCGCTTGTCCCTTATTACCCCGCTTGTCCCTTATTACCCCGCTTGTCCCTTATTACCCCGCTTGTCCCTTATTACCCCGCTTGTCCCTTATTACCCCGTTTGACGGAAACTGCTGCCTTGAATCAGTGATCGTAGGTCACATCTGCAAATTATGGCAGGGTTATCGACAGCCGGTCAAAAGCCGCCTTTAGCCTTCTGATTTTTTAACATTCATTCCTCGTAACAGCTTTGGGCGGCATACATTCATCTCATGCACATTCAGAGATGAATGAGCAATATTGTCCAAATTGCGACTCACCCACAGCACGAGCAAAGAGCGAACAGGACGATTAATACAAGGGGAAAAAGTGCTCAAATATTCGGACAAAGTCTTGTTTATTTCTTTGAATTGTGTGTCCAACACTGCGATAACAGCCCTGTGTGTCCGCCACGGTGATGACAAATTTGTGTGTTCAGCACGATGATAACAACTCTGTGTGTCCGCGATGATAATAACCCTGTGTGTCCAGCACGGTAATAACAACCCTGTGTGTCCACCACGGTGATAACAAATTTGTGTGTTCAGCACGGTGATAACAGCCCTGTGTGTCCGCCACGGTGATGACAAATTTGTGTGTTCAGCACGGTGATAACAGCCCTGTGTGTCCAGCACGGTGATAACAGCCCTGTGTGTCCGCCACGGTGATGACAAATGTGTGTGTTCAGCACGATGATAACAACTCTGTGTGTCCGCGATGATAACAACCCTGTGTGTCCAGCACGGTAATAACAACCCTGTGTGTCCACCACGATGATAACAAATTTGTGTGTTCAGCACGGTGATAACAGCCCTGTGTGTCCGCCACGGTGATGACAAATTTGTGTGTTCAGCACGGTGATAACAGCCTAACAACCCTGTGTGTCCAGCACGGTGATAACAACCCTGTGTGTCCAGCACATTGATGACAGCCCTGTGTGTCCACCACGGTGAAAACAACCCTGTGTGTCCAGCACGGTGATAACAGTCCGGTTTGTCCACCAGATTTTTATTACTTTGCAATGAGTTACATTTAATGGTGAACAATCTTTATATTAGTATTAATTCAAATATGAATTCAATATTGTATACTTTTTTCGCACAGTTTCGATGATGAATATCGTATCATTGCTACTGCCGGTCACTGCGCTTGCTGTGTGTAAAAACATGAGTCATTATTTAGACAATATAGCTATAGTTTTCCTGAGTGGAAGCTGGATGCGTCACTCCAGACTCATGAAGATCTTTGTCTGAATTTTTTTCCAGCGAAATTAAAGACCAGGCGTTAATTTCCGAGAAAAAACTACTACTTTGACTCATTTTCTCGAAATGAGGGAAAGGCTTTTTAGTCTTGCAAGCTCGCCGCTTTCAGCAACTGGGTTGAGGAGCTTTCTACTTTTGAATCTCCTTTAATATTTACCCTAATATCTACGCCTAAAATCTGCCCTAATATCTACCCCTAATGTCTACCATAATATATACCCCTTAATATCTACCCTGATATCTACCCCTAATATATTCCCTTATATCCACCCTAATATCTACACTAATATCTACCCTAATATCTCATGCGTGCGTATGTAATACGATATTAAGTAGTATGCAGGACTCTTCTGTGCGTGCGTATGTAATACGACATTAATAGTACGCAGGAAGTTATCGTGCGTACGTAATACGACATAAAGCAGTACGCAGGACTACTCCGTGCGTGCGTACGTAACGCGACATAAAGCAGTACGCAGAACTACTCGGTGCGTGCATTTAATGTAGGAACTATCACGCTGTCACTGCGCCGGCTTCCGGGTCGTCTTAATCCTTATGATTTACTGCCGTCGATGTTGGAGTTTGGGCGCAAATTCCGGCCTTGGTCATGAGGGCCTCGTTAGACCTCAGTCGATAGCCCGCGGCTGCTGGTCTACAGACACGGCCACGTATAGACTTTATAAAGACTTGTATGCGGACAATTTACATTGAGGCGCAAAAATATTGTATTATAAATAGACTTATATATAGACAGGGGCTTTGATATTAGATATAGATGTATATATACTCGGCTTCTTTGCTCCTGCTTATTTATATAGAAGTTTCCATTTAAACTTATATCCAGACGAAGGTTCATATACTGAATTACGTATATGCAGACTCATTTATCAGCTTATATCATATATCAAGTTATATAGAGACTTACAAACATGCTGCTTATATAGAGAAGGACGCTTCCGTGACCGCGCCTAGAATGACTGGCATAGCGAAGGATAATTTGTCCTGAGGTCAAGGGTCAACTGGGCACACGCGCGCTGCACTTCTTGGCAAGCATGCGCAGGACTTCTTGGCAAGCGTGCGCAAGACTTCTTGGCAAGCCTGCGCAGGATTTCTTGGCAAGCGTGCGCAGGATTTCTTGGCAAGCCTGCGCAGGACTTCTTGGCAAGCCTGCGCAGGACATCTTGGCAAGCCTGAGCAACACTTCTTGGCAAGCGTGCGCAAGACTTCTTGGCAAGCCTGCGCAGGTCTTCTTGGCAAGCCTGCGCAGGACTTCTTGGCAAGCCTGCGCAGGACTTCTTGGCAAGCGTGCGCAGGACTTCTTGGCAAGCCTGCGCGGGACTTCTTGGCAAGCGTGCGCTGCATTCCTTGGCAAGCGTGCGCAGGACTTCTTGGCAAGCCTGCGCAGAACTTCTTGGCAAGCCGGCGCAGGAATTATTGTCAAATACGCGATACGCACAGGACAATTTAGCAAGACCGCGCATAATTTCTTGATAAATTTGCGAGAGAATTCTTGGCAGCTCCGTGCAGGACTTTTTAACAAGTGTGGGTGGGAAACTGTAAATCAAAATTAAAGCTTGTAAATATACCCCGACATGTCTGTAAATCAGCCCCCAACTTGCTAATAAATCGACCCCGACACGCCAGTAAACTGGCCTATCACGCCTGTAAATCGACCCCGACGCGCCTGTAAATCAACCCCGACTCGTCTGTAAATCGGCCCAGGCGCGCCTGTAAATCGACCCCGACACGTCTGTAAATCGGCCCAGGCGCGCCTGTAAATCGACCCCGACACGTCTGTTTATGAATATTCAACAAGTAGAAGCTTCTGGTATGAATATTCAACAAGTAGAAGCTTCTGGTATGAATATTCAACAAGTAGAAGCTTCTGGTATGATTATTCAACAAGTAGAAGCTTCTGGTATGAATATTATTGTCAATCCTCACTGCTTAAATAAAAGTCAATCATAATAAATCAGTGAATAAAAGTCAATCCTCACTGCTTATTCTATATTTTTATGCGGTGTTAATGTTAGCAGCACGGGTTTACGTTTATAGAATTGGCAACGTCACGCTACCGAACGTCACGCTACATGTTGGCATTCTTCTGAATCAATGCTAGGTCAGTTAGGCCGCTTTGATGTAGATTTTAGGGCCCGTGGACCAATATCAAAACCTGCTCCTTTATAATCATAGAGTTCATCGTGTGCTCACTTCTGCTCGTTGCTCTGCCACCACCACAGTAAGTACATCCATTTCTCTGCAACCATCTGCCTGCCACCTGACAATTTTTCTGCAACAATCGCAGCTGTCGCCTGTCGCCTGACAATTTCTGAACAACCATCGTACGTGTTGCAGCGATGACTCGAGCTTTGTTCGAAAAAAACTGTGAAAAAACGATCTCACCGGCGTTTCAGTGGCCGGCCGCCCCGTGAAAATAAACAGTTTCGCCGCTTTTATCAGATGTTTTACGGGTTTCTAGTGTTAAATTGGAATAAAAACGGCCACTTTGTGTATCTCTTCACGTGCCGGCCGGTCACTGAAACGCCGGTAATCCCGTTTAACATTGATTTTTAGAACAGTGTGTCACTACCCCCATCTTGTTACCATCAGCTGATCGTGTCAACATGACCTTATGTCCTTATGACCTTATGACCTTATAACCTTATGACCTCATGACCTTATGATGAGTTTAGGACTTCGTAGTCTAAGGTCAAGCTGATGTTCCGCCTTCGTCGTCCTCCGTCTCCGAGTCGTCGCTAGGCAGGTCACCCCGCCCTCGGATCATCATCAGCATGAAACAAACAATAGGCAAACAGTGCGTTTGCTTCAATAAGTGATGAATTGCCATTTAAATGAAGCGTGTATATCCGCAAATGAAGCATGGTGCCCTAATGCACGGTCTCCATGAAGCACGAACGCGCATGAACTGCAGTGGCACGTTGATGCGTGATCGAAACGTGCATGGTGGTGCGGTGGTAGTGGTGATGAGACTGTGATGCTATGGGTGTGGTGCTGTGGAGCTTTGAGTGCGGTGCTGAAATTGTGATACTGTGGGTGTAGTGCTGTGGAGCTATGGTGGGTGCAGTGATGTGGTGCTGTGGAGCTGTGGGTTCGGTGGTGAAACTGTGATGCTGTGGGTGTGGTGCTGTGGGTGCTGAGCTGTGGTGGGTGCGGTGATGTGGGTGCTGTGGGTGCCGTGCTGTGGTGCTGTGGGTGCTGTGACTGTGGTGCTGTGGTGCTGTGGGTGCCGTGCTGTGGGCGCGGTGCTGCTGGGGCGGAAGTTTGCTCACGCAGTAGCGGCGGCGACCGCAGCGTGTTGACTGAAGCGCCTGCACCTGTGGGACTCTGATTACTCATGACATTAACGATACCACACTAGTTACCGTGCCGGCACGGTAACCTTACGAGTTATAGTGCCGGAACGGTAACTTTACGAGTAACATTACCGGCATGGTAACTTCAAGGGTTTCAAAGCTGGTGGTACATTGCTGGCATGGTAACTTTACAAGTTACAATACTGGCACGGTAGTTTTAAGATGTACATTCGAACAGCAACTAAATAATAGACTAGATTACCTTGCACATAATTTTTAGGATTTATGTTAATATTCTCTTTCCTTTTTCTCGGCAGGAATATAATATAATCTTTGATCAATGATAATGAATCAAAGCGCAACCAGGTGACTTTAATGTCCGAAATTTTGATTCTACATTAGACTGTGACCTCAGCATTCTATACTGCGGTTAAACTCCGCCATGCAAACAATTGAAACTTGCTCCGTCCCATCAGTGCGTGTGTCGCAAATTTTTCCAATGCTAGACGACAAAAACGTGAGTACAGATGTCCAGTCGCAGTGTTTCGTCCACCGAGGAGTTCGGCCCAAGTACGAGTGTTCGCTCACCTGTTCTCTAAGTTCTTCAGAAAAATCTAGTGATTTGGGTTTGATCAACGTATCGCCGAATGCCTCCATTACGGTGCTTGACTGCACGAAAAATGATTTAAGATCGAAGTATCTCTACGCTTCCAGTGCTGTCGTGAACACCCCGACAGTGGGTTTTATCTCAACCTGGCTACACGAAGCGTCTGTCATCGCCATTAACCCAAACTCTAACGCCCCTTCCGTGATCGGCTCGAGTGCGACCAATACCACATCAACTAACGAGACTAATAACACATCAACTAAAGATGCTAGTAATCCACCGTCCCGGTCTCGAGAAACGTGCCGATCGTTTACCTCCCATGCTAATTCAATTCTTCATACACACAACTTTTCGGAGCAGATACAATCCAATGCACGTACGTCTTCAGGGGGAACCAAACTAGAAATGTTCACAGGAGACTTCGAACCAACGATACCCTCCAGCAAGCCGCCGTCCGCGAGGGCACCGAAACGTATTGAGGGTCAAATTCCAAAGTCCCTTGACGTTCCAAGCCCCGACAGGTCTTCCAAATCATCGGATGTGGGTCGCAAAAGTCGTCTAGTCCGCAAAAGTCGTCCAGTCATGCAATCGATGAGCTCCACGTGCCGGAGAAAGTTTTTGGACGTCCGAAGTGTGTTGTGCGCAGCCTGGGGCTTCCTGTACCTCAGTGTCGCCATCGTCAGCGCAACCACAGCTCACTATTCAGGTGAGCCACGCCCTTTGCTCTCTTTTATATTTACTTTACCAAGTAAAATTCTATGTTTGTACTGCTTTTGTCCTTGTGTTATTGATTAATCATTTCCGTATTTAAGAATTTGTATTCATGTTTTTCAGCAATGATTACGAAATCTTTTGTGTCACTCGATTCTCGATAAGAACGCGTTTCATTTATATAGAAACCGTCACTATCATGGTTGAATTAATACAAATAATTCAACCATGGTCACTATATTATACGTAGGGACGCGCTTCAATTGAATCAAACTAGAGTTTTCATTTAGTGAGCATTTTCTTAACCGTTTCAAAGAATTCACAATGAAAATTTGTATGTGAAGGAATGTAGAATACTTAGCTATGTCGCCAATAGTCACCAACCGTTATAGACTTGTAAAATAATGGTGTAGTAAAAAAATGTTTATTTTCGCCTTAGTTATCTTTTTATCATATATAGTATAAGATAATCTTAGATCTCAGATACATGATATCTAAGATATCTAATTTTATTAGATGCTTTTTAGCGCATTTTCTCATTTATGGAAAAAAGGCGCTATTGTGCTCGTCATGTCCGTCCGTCCGTCTGTCTTTCCGTCTGTCCGTGACTTCAGGTTTTCGTCGACGAGAAAATGCGTTCCCTGTCACTCACTGCAGTGAGTACTGAGTTATATATTTTTTTATCTTATGTGTATCTGCTTTGCGTTGTTTGCCCCACGGATTCGAGAAATATTTATGTCCTATTTTGAAAAACACTATGATGAGTATTGATAAATCAGGCGTTGCAAGTCCATACAGACATGGTGGGAGAAGACACTTGTGATTTGCCATGCCACTGTCACAGATTCAGAGACTTCAGAGTCCCTAAGTAAGGTTTACTTCCCTGAGCGTTCCGTAGAACTCTCAGAGGTAGAAAATCACAGAGCTATCGCTATCACAGATGTAGAACTCACAGAGGTAGAAGTCACAGAGGTAGAAGTCACAGAGGTAGAAGTCACAGAGGTAGAAGTCACAGAGGTAGAAGTCACAGAGGTAGAAGTCACAGATGTAGAAAATTACACAGCTATAGATATCACAGAGGCAGAAAATTGCACAGCTATAGATACCACAAAGGTAGAAATCATAGAGGTAGAAGTCACAGCTGTAGAACTCGCAAAGATAGAATTACACAGGATATTGATAACTTAAAAGAGCCTCTTTGACGTTTTCTTTGACTCTGCTAAATGACCTCAACTCTGGAATTTTTCTTTGTGTGCTGAAGGTGCAGAGGTCACACCTCTTGCCGGTGTAACGCTGATGAGGTCGATGATCCCATGCCTAAATGAAATTTTTTTTAAATGATCTTGTCAGGCTCTGACGACATGGATTGACTTAGAATTTAGGAATACAATAATATTTTACTGTGATCGGCCTAGATTTTTGTAATGAATACATTATAATTGACTTCATTTTATGAAATGCTATGAACTGCCAACGTCGCAAACTGCCGTTGGTGTCTCAACGCCTCCAGATTCATCCAAGTAAATGACATCTAAGCAAATGACGTTGGAATAAACGTTAAATCAACGTCAGATTGAATGAATTCAATTGATTAAGATTGTTAAGATTGAGTGGAATGAATTTCTTCTGGACCACGAGCCCTAACGGAGTTTGGCAAAGCCGGCAATCACGACTCGTGGTTTTAAGAAAGAATCAAAGAAACGCATTCACATGAATGAGTCAAATTAGTCGAATAAGAAGAGCACCTCGTGTACGCAGGTAACATCATTCATTAAATTATTCATTAAAATTATTCTTCACGTAACATGTTGGAGATGTTGGCGGAAATTATTCTTCAGGTAACTTGTCGCTGTTTACGGAAATTAATATGATATAAAAAGTGCTTAGAGTTGGTGAGTGGAGCAGCACAAACACGAGAAGGAATTCCATTAAAACATATTCTTCTCTCGCGCTAGTTCTATCATAACAAACACGAAAAGATCCTTTTTCTCCTGCCTTAAAAGATCTTTGTGTTGGTCCCGCGTGGGCGGATGGAGCAGCACAAACAAGAAAAGATGTCTTTTCTTGACCTAAAAGATCTTTTTGTTGGTCCCGCGTGGGTGGATGGAGCAGCACAAACAAGAAAAAATGTCTTTTCTTGGCCTAAAAGATGTTTGTGCTGGTCATGCATGTCTGTTGTCACCTGAACCGGCGTGTCGTCTGCCTCACCTGCTCGGCTTGCATGGCGCGCTAAGTAATGAGATCGGCAGCCCCCTTAACCTGGCGCTCGCGATGGACTTCCTATTAATTCGCTCGCTAACGCGGGGGACTGCAGCCTCCCATTAATTAGTTTCTTAACGTGAAGGCTGCCATTAAAGCGCTGCATAACGTTGAAGTTCTCATTAATGCGCAGCTTAACATGAAGGCTACCATTAATGCGCTGCTTAACGTTGAAGTTCTCATTAATGCGTAGCTTAACGCAAAGGTTCCCATTAATGCGCTGCTTAATGTTGAAGTTCTCATTAATGCGCTGCTTAACATGAAGGCTACCATTAATGCGCTGCTTAACGTTGAAGTTCTCATTAATGCGCAGCTTAACGCAAAGGTTCCCATTAATGCGCTGCTTAACGTCGAGGCTGAAATTGAGCCGTAAGTCTCTCTGAGGTTATTGGGTTAATTATTTCACTGGTGCTATGATGAAAGTTGATTTGTAATTAATAGTCTAATTTGTGATTGATAATTGTAATTAATAATAATAGTAATAATTAACATCATTAATGGTCTTACAACTAAAACTATTTCACTCTGAGCCTCTTGCGATTATGATGGCGGCTGGTGATGATGGTGGCTGGTGATGATGGTGGCTGGTGATGATGGTGGCTGGTGATGATGGTGGCTGGTGATGATGGCGGCTGGTGATGATGGCGGCTGGTGATGATGGCGGCTGGTGATGATGGTGGCTGGTGATGATGGCGGCTGGTGATGATGGTGGCTGGTGATGATGGCGGCTGGTGATGATGGCGGCTGGCTCTCGTAACTCCATTGTGTATCGATTACCAACAATTTTCCACAAGCTTCGTTAGCTATTGGCCGTATTAACGCTNCTGGTGATGATGGCGGCTGGTGATGATGGCGGCTGGTGATGATGGCGGCTGGTGATGATGGCGGCACTCTCTCGTAACTCCATTGTGTATCGATTACCAACAATTTTCCACAAGCTTCGTTAGCTATTGGCCGTATTAACGCTCATTTGTTTATTATTGAGGCTCGAAATCTGAAATCATTCATCAATAATGCACACTTACAAATACATCATTAATTAATGGCTCTAGCAAGGTAGTTCAGTGACAAAAACTATATAAAGTCCAATAAACGTATAATGTGTTTTAGTTGAATTCGGATTATTTTTATACATGTGAGAGAATTGAAAAATAATTTAGAAATCAACGCGTTCACTTCCAATTTGCAGCGAAGATCTTAATTTTTAATCTTTTTTGCACGCGTTACGCTTTCTCTGCAAAAAAACTTCCTGCTAAGATTTATAACTCAAGTAAGCTGATTACTTTACTATATCGATTCGATTAATTTAGTTAGGGTTAGGAAATTATCAAGCCAGCTCCAGACCACGGAAATTTGTAATTTGTTCACTCTCCAGGTAACGAGGATTCGTATTAATCCACGCACCAGTTCACGGAAATTCGCAGTAATCCTTGCAATGGGAAGGGTGTCTCAGTGGTTAAAGTTCTTGGCCCATACTTTCAAAAAAATTAAGAGATCGTAAGTTCAACAGCCAATCATTGACGGCCTTTCAAGCAAAATCCACCAATCATAGACAAGAAAATAGAGCGTAAGTACGTACGTTCACTTAGCGAGTTTTAAAAGTATGGCCCCAGAGTACCATGATTTGAGCAGAGAGACGCGGGTTGGATCCCAGCTCTGTGCGCCAGTCTCTGGTCAGAATCGGCAAGGAGGCCGGGCGGTTGAACAAAAATTGAAGCAGTGAGTTGCGAGTTCGAGCCCGCAACAAGATGTGGCGACAGAATTGGCGACATGCCTACGGCCTAATAACAGCTGAAATGGCTATATTAATTGTTTTCCTACCTGCCATCTTCTAACATTCCCACCCAGCATCACTTGATCACAGCTCTGTTTAATCAGGCACTTGCTTTAAGTGACGGAAGGAGTTAATTATAATTAAAGATTACAATGTACGATTTGATTAAAATGATAGATTAGAATATAAATTGTAACTAGAACGATAAACTGTATTTATTGTGAATTATTTATGAAAAAAAGAAAGTCAATGTTGCAATACCGTCTGCTTGTCTGCAGTATTTGTATGTATAATTGTTACCGTGTCTTCACATGCCATGGCTGTTCTCACGCGTCCATCGTTACCATCGATTTAAGCCTCGTGCTTATTTGCATTGAGTGTTCTCTCCTGTAGTTTGTGATAATAATGTTAATACTACATCATATCATACCGATAACATAATAAAAAAGTCATAATAATATTACTGTACCACACTTATGATGTAAAAATATTGAATTATTTTCAGTGGCCACCCCGGGAAGGTGGACGGCTGGCTGCCTACATAGCTACTAATTCTACACAAAATTTTACGCAGCTCGCTAAAAATTTCTTTTTTCATAACAAATTTCTTGCTTCCTTAATTTCAGGACGTGCGAATTACCTACACGTTTTTAAATTATCCTCAATTAAATAGATATATCCATTATAAATTTATTTCCTTCACGTTCGGTACAGCAACGGTAAACTTCAACGGTGAACATATTAAGGTCTAGGTGAACTTGAACGCTTGAAACTCATTAGTTTATTCCTAGGTTGATGCATTAAGTTAGACTAAAATTACTTGCACAACCGCCTGCAGCATTTGTTGTATCAAGTTTTTTTTTAACGAATTACGCTGACTCATCACGTTAGAGTGGACAGTAATACATCAGTAGAACCTAAAAAGATGTTATGTAATTTAATACTAATGAATTTAATATAGTTTAATTTGAAGTTATTACATATAAAGATATTACATTCTGTCTCGGACAGTCGGTCCAATAAAGAAAACGTGCCAATTTGGTTTATTTAATGTAGTAAGCCTGAAAGAAACGGGTGAACATTTACAAAATCTTAGAGCAAAATTAGGTGGTATAAAATGTACTAAACATATGCCAGAATGCAACCGAAATACACCTATTGCAGTTAGACATTTGCGAGAAATGGGGAAGTATTTTTTCAGTCATCTGAATATAAAGAGACTGGCTAAATTGAATGTATACCGGACGAGCTAAACTAACAAGTGCTGAAATTTTGTCTCTAGGTTTGAGATTTAAGAATACCGGCACATATTCTACACTTCGAGTACAAAAGTAAAGTTGTCAGGAATTTAAAAGCAAAGGAAAATGGCCACTAAGTTCCCCATTTCTTATAAGAAAAACGTTCCGGAGTCCAGCTCCATTATCATTTTAAAACCTAGAATACATTTACAAACAGTCAGTAATTTAAAATTTACATTAAAACAATTCACCTAAAATTGAGAACATTAGAACGTAAATCGTAAAGAGAGCACAAATAAAAATTAAACAAACATGAGCAGAAGGAACTATCTATTTTATACAATTTGGAGAGGATAAAAACTGAAAGCGGCAATTAAACTGGGATTCTGTTTAAAAGGTATACGATGATTTTAAAATTGGCAGGTCAGAAGCACCGGTTATGAAGGCTAAAACTCTAAAATTTCTATCGAACACCGCGACGTTGCACTGCTCGGCATGACTGCGTACGGCTGAATGAGGGGGATACGCAAGTAGGTTTCCTGGTGCTATACTTTCAAAACTCGCTAAGTGAACGTAAGTACTTACGCTCTATTTTCTTGTCTATGATTGGTGGATTTTGCTTGAATGGCCGTCAATGATTGGCTGATGAACTTACGACCTCTTAACTTTTTTTGAAAGTATAGGCCCTGTTTTATAACTTCTGCCTCTATGCTCCGCAAACCTGGTAGTAAAATTGCGTGATGTTATACCGACACACGCGCGGAGCAGATGCGCACTGCGCACAACTATATTGATAAACTAGGGATGATCGCATAAGAACAGGGAGTATCTTTGTACTCGAGAAACGAACTAATTATATAATTGTTCACTAGCAATGCGTGAAGATTTACCTTAGGGAGGTATTTAGCGAATGGAAATTGTAAGTTGGATGGATGGTTCAATCGAAGAGTCAACTTGATACTAGACCGCCTTGCTTCATATATGAGAAGATGCAAAGTATTAAAAGAATTTTTCGGCGTAAGTTTCTTGCGCTTTATTATTATTGCGTCCATGAAATTTATTACTATCATTGATTATAAACAACAATCTTTTCAAACGCCAGGCTTGAAAAACTTCGCTAGAAATTGACACTCAGCTTTTGGTAGCCCTCGGGTACACTCAGTTAAATGAGCGAAACTTTATCCAAATGGCGAAGCACTTTTTGCCCTTATGTGATTCATCGTGACCCAGTTTGGCCTGGCAGAACGGCGTACCGGCTCTACTCTCTGCTTGTACCGTGGGTGTGTCACTGGCGGGCAATGCAACAAATTGATTTTTTGAGTGTACCGCTGGCGCCAGGGCAAGGGATGCTGCTGGGCAGAATACTTTCACTCTCCCCGTGCTGCAGGAGCGGCGTTACAGCTGCAGCGTTACAGCAGCAGCGTTACAGCAGCAGCGTTACAGCAGCAGCGTTACAGCAGCAGTTTACAGCAGCAGCGCTACAGCAGCAGCGTTACAGCAGCAGCGTTACAGCAGCAGCGTTACAGCAGCAGCGTTACAGCAGCAGCGTTACAGCAGCAGCGTTACAGCAGCAGCGTTACAGCAGCAGCG